GTCTGACATGTTTTCATCTACAGGCACTCTTAGAAAACGTGGGAAAGATTATATAGATTACCTGCTTTGTCTCTTTGATTCCTAGTTGGAGAGAAACTCCAATCAGTGACCAAAGCTATCAAAAGTTCTAAAGTAAAACTCAAATATGTATGTGGATTTTCTCCTGTTCACCCCTTAGCTCATTCCCTATTCAGACAGGCAGCTGTCTTTAGAAATGTATGCTCTGGGGTCTCGGATTAAACCCATTCCTTCTCCTTAAAAAGCCCTTAAAATAAATAATAGGGAATGTTTTGACTGTTCACGTCTGTAAAAGCATTTACTCTTATCTGAAACTCACACCTATGCAGCTGAATTCGACATCATGTAAAACAACAACAACAACAACAACAAAACACAGTATGGATTGCTCTCACAGTATTTTAGTCCTCTATCTTTTGTCTTTAGAAAAGATTACAGGAGTGACACTTTCTTCCTGCTTTAACTCACAGCCTTAAAAATATCCATCAATTTGTTTTAGCCAAAATGGAAGAATAACAATATTTTAAATTATTATTTTTAAAAGTTCTTTAAAAAAACTCATTTCTCTAAACTCTACTGATGACAAATATGACTATGGAGAGAAGCAACTCCCTATATTGGTTAAATCTAAAATTGAATCTGAAAAACAGAGAAATGTATAGCAAGAAAATCTGTAAACTGGTTTTCAGTGAATGAACTACCTGCTGTTTCCTACTCAAGATAATTGACACTGTGTAAAGATATGCTGTAATCTAGAAAGCAAAACAAAACAAAAACCATACACACACAGAGTGGTAACAGATCAAACAAGAAAAAACTTTTCAGTTGAAGCAAGAACTGATAGTAAACTGAGGTTTTCAAGAGTTTTTAAAAATAAAATGTCTGTGTGGAAAGCCAGATACATTATAGCCTTTGCAGAATTATTTTGAAAAGTGGACACCCTCCAAAACAGCTGTAGCATTTCAGTAGCATTAGTTGATAGAGAAAAATATAATGTCTTTCTTCACAACCGAGAATACCGAACTTAACAAGGAACAGTGACAAATCACTTTAGTCACAAGTAGAAGATTTGCGTTAAAAAGCTTATCCATTCATGAGGAAGAGTGTTAAAACCTCAGAGGGTTTTTGCTTGTGTGAAGAGACAAAAGGTGGCACAGTAAACCCATCTTCAATTAACATGTTTATTCTTTTAAAAATATCTGGCAATCATGGAATTCCTTCCCATTTTTGAGTAATATTTTGATTCACTTAAGAAAAACTCCTCTTGTATTCAGAGATGCAACTTAGAATCCCAGGCTAACTCCTGCCTGTCAATAAACTGAGAAATCTAGGTAAAAATAAAGCATATTTATGACTGTTACCTTGGCAGTTGCTATGTCAGTGTCCACCATCATTAAAAGACTGTTTTCTAACCAATATTAATGAAAAGTACACAATCACTCTGTAGGCATTTTTAAAGTATCCACATTTTCCAATGATTGACCTGTATTTTCTACCAATTTTCTTAAGATTTCTCAATCAAAAATAATTTTTAAAGAAACAACTGACATCACCAACATGTTCTAAAACAAAATATAGCTAAAAAGAAAAAAAATCAGCAAATCTACAGATAGTTTGGGCCAATCACTTTCATAGACCTGATTATCTTTTTCCAAGTTATCTTTTCCAAGTAATAATATTTATTTTTAAATTTCTTTGAGTGCAGTTGACACACAATGTTACATTAGTTTCAGGTATATAGGTTAGTGATTTCACAGGTTTATACATTATGCCGTGCTCACCACAAGTGTGGCTGCCATCTGTCCCCTTACCTTGCTATTACAATATAATTGACTGTATTCCTTATGCTCTGCCTTTTATTCCCTGATTAATACTTTTTTCTTTTTTTTTTTTTTTACTAAATTGAAGGGATTTAGGATGCACATAAACACAGGCCCCCATCACAATAAAAGTTGTTGAACCAACACTGGAAAACTTCTTTTTATCCTAATAGAAGTCTTCTGACGTTGCCAATTTAAAGTTTTCGCCACGAATAAAAGATTTTGTCTCTTTTCCTCATACACAATAATAGTTACAGAAACACCATCAGGTGAACCACTCATTTCTACTTTAGCTAACAAGAAAATATAACTTCTTTTTCATTCTTAATTTAATATTATCATTTAAACAACTAGTTATAGATTGCATGCATTTTGTGTCTTTTTTCAGGAAACAATCTAAGTAAAAACACATTTTCCTGGATGGCTATGGATATCAATGCTGGTTTTCATTTATTCCAGAAGGCATTGATTCATTGTTACTTTTAAGAGTTTCTTAATCTAGAATCCATGGATCGCTAGGAAATCTACAGTTTTCTGGAAATATACGCAAAATTTCATGTGTATATACCCATTGTGATTTTTCTTCTGACAGCAATTTATTTTATTTATTTATTTATTTTGCTACCTAGCATCTATACACCCTCTTTCTGTTAAAAGTACCCTCTTTCCCTCTGGGAGGCAATCCCAATGCCTAGCTCATGGAAGGTGATAAAGAAGACTCTCTCTCTTGCTCCGAGAGAGGTGTGCAGGATTAGTCTGTGATCTAATCAAAGCCAATTAGTACAAAGAGACTTTTGATAGGGCTTCTGGGAAAGAGACTCTCTTTTTCCTATTTGATCTGAATGAAACATGAGAGGATGTCCATGCTGAAACAATTCTATTGCCACCATCTTCCTCCCAAGTGAAGCCAAGACTGAAGCTGTCTTAGTGGAAGCTAAGAAATGGAGAGAAGCTGAGTCCTGCTTACATTATTTCAATACAGAAGTTAGCTCTTTGCCTAGACTTCCCATGTTTTAATAAGTAACACAAGTACCTGCATGCACATTCACACCATCTTACTCCCCAACATACACATAGCTGACTCCTTCCTTCTTCAGCTCAACTGCTACTGTCTCTGACCTTTACTATCTAATAAAAATTCCCCTCTCTGTATCTTTACGTCTGTCCATCCTACCCGTCTACATTTAGTCAAAATCATATGCCATATGCTGTTTCTTAATTCGGTGCACAGGAATTTGGTCAGTTTTCCTGTCCTTTTCTGTCGAAGTATACAAGTACAGGATTGTCTTCCAATTTGGGGGAGCGGGGAGGGAGGAAAACAGATTAAAAACTGAAGATTCAAATAGAGAGCCATGTTGTAAATTTCATCAAGGATGGAACAAATTGAGATTTTTATTAGTCATATACAAGAAAATATATTTCACTCAAGCAAATATCTTTAGCATAGATTAGGAGGAAAGGATTTTTATGCATTTTAATCTCCATTCCAACCAGACTTAGCTGACATAATTATGGGGCCCCTAAAAGTAACTGCTGGGGTTTAGAAGCACTTGCCACTTCTTTTGAACTGGCTCTATAAATGCCAAGAGTGAGTATTTCAGATTAAATGAATAGATTAATAAACATCTTTAGAATATCCATCATTAAGGTTGATTTATGTTCTATTGGCATCAGTAATTCAAGGAAATGCCATGCTATTCAAAAAATATTTCATGTCGTTCTCACCATTTTGCCAGTGTTATGACACCATGTAAGTAAGACAGTATCTACATTCTTCTGCTGTTCTAACCTATACTCAAAAGCCAATAGATATTAAACCACTTTAAGTTTACATGGGCATCAGCATAAGAATCACTCATATTTATAACTCTGATGAATGGCCTTTCATTTATAAATTTATAGTGTATCCATAATTTCTTTAGGGAACCAAAATGTTCATTCAAAAACCTTGCCACAACATTTATCTATGCAAAGATGATGGATACGGTTTATAAAATTAAATGCTTTTAAAAATTGAAATCATATTGAAAAAAAAAAGGACATGTTTTTTTCTTAGGTTGCTCACATTTTAAAATGATCCCAACTGCACTCTCAGGACTTACAATGCTTAATCTAAGTAGCATATTAATATATGTATTAAATAGGTCTAAATATATTGTTGTTAGTGGACTACTGGACATCAAGTTCACTTAAATTTATTATTTTATTTTCTAATTCTACTCCTCTATATTAAGCTATAAAATATATAAAGTATAATTGGGATATAATATTTCTTATTTATATTACTGCATTTGCTGTGTTTATTTCTTCAGGACCACTCCCAGCATACTGCATGGTGTATGGTAAGCATGGGCTATTATAAACTATAACTTAAATAAAGTACATATTTGCCAAAAATCAACATTAACTAAACAAGGAATCCTATTTTATTCCAATATAGACTTTGCTCAATTGGAGAAATCAGTAAATTAAGAGAAAATGAAAGGTAAAAATGATCATTAAAGTAACCAATGAAAAGCAGAGTATCAACATCCCAAGTGTGAAGAAGAAATGCACATTGTTGTTATGTATGATGTGCTCTGGTAGCATTCCTATTCTCTCTTCATTTGCCCTCATGTACTATTAACATAGGAAATACAGACAAATCTCAGTGCTATCTCCCCCCCACACACACAAAGGCAAAGGAGGTAAAACTATTTTTTAAAGATCTATCCTATTATTAAAGAATATATTAAAAAATTGAAGCTGAGTTTACTTTTTTAAAAGATTTTATTTATTCATTTGAGACACAGAGATAGAGAGAGGGAGAGCATGAGCAGGGGGAAAGGCAGAGGGAGAGGGAAAAGCAGGCTCCCCGCTGAGCCAGGAGCCCAATGTGGGCCTCTATCCCAAAACCCTGGGATCATGACCTGAGCTGAAGGCAGACGTTTAACCATCAGAGCCACTCAGGTGCCCCTGAAGCTGAGTTTAAATATTTGATTCAGTTAATATGAACGACAACCTCCAAATTACTAAATTTATCATTAGCTCATCCAGTCAAAAAAAAATTTTTTTTCCAAATGCTTGTAAAATTCGTAGGCAAAATATTTCTTACATATTACACTTTCTCTGTTCTGCTTAAAACTAACATAATATTAAAAAATAAATAAACAGTTTACATACCCCAGTGGATCGCTAGCTCCTTGTGGACAGGAACATATTTGTCATCATCTTTGGGTCACCCGGGGCCAGCATAGCACCTGAGATATAATGCATACCCCATAAATGTTTTTGAATTAACTAAATGATACAGTGCTGACTGGAATCCATTTGGAAGATATGAGTTCAATGACACAACCATTCTATATAGCAATCCTCTTTCTGTGTATCCTACATTATTAAACTATCAGTGCACATTCTTATACATTTGAATGACAACTTTGTCCTGAAAACAATTCTCAAGAATAATTGCTTCTAAATGCTTGTTACATTATATATTCTTATTGTCCTTTGGTTTTGGTGGAGGCAACAGAGTAAAGTGTTTGAGATCATGTACTTTTGAGTTAGGATGACACCGGTTTAAATCCTGGTTCCACCATTGACTAATTTACATGGTCTTGGGTAAGTCTCCTAATCGATAAATCTCAGCTTATCTTTAAAAGAAAAATAATTATAGCATCATCCTATTAATGTTCAAAAAATTAAAGGAAACAACGCTTAGCACACTGCCTGACACATGGTATGCCCTCAATAAATGATAACTATTTGCATTCATTTCTCTTTCCCTCCCTCCTTTTCTGTGTGGTGAAGAGTTAACCTTATGCAAGGAAAGATCTGGCCTTTGTCTTTGGCTACTAAGAGGTGATCTCTAGGTCCTCCAAATGTCATATCTGGCAAGAGTGTCTTTGCTTGCCTGAGAGCTTTGGCCACAGGACAGTCAAACGGTGTGATTTTGGATGGCGGCTTGGGAACATGCAGTATCAATTTTGCCTCTGGAAGGAACTGAAGACTAAAGGTATCAACCCAACAGTGACATCCAGGAGGGGCTGGAGACTAAAGGTCAGAAACTTGGACAGTATGTGATCACATCCCATTAAAAACTCTAGACACCAAAGGCTCAAGTGAGCTTCCCTGGTTGACAGTGTTCCATGTATACTGTCATATTGATGCTGGGAAAGTAATGCGTCTGACTCTATAAGGAGAGGACAATGAAAGCTCTGTGGTTGGTCCTTCAAGCCTCAAACTCAGACTCAGCCTTAGCCTTATACTTATCAGCTTGAGACTCAGCCTTACATACTTTTTCCCCTGGCTGATATTAATTTGTATTCTTTCCCTGTAATAAACTATAACTTTGAGTATAATCTGTTTTAGTGAATACTTCTAGCAAATTGTCAAACCTAAAGGTGGTTTTAGAAACCCCTCAAACTTGCAGTTGGTGTCAGAAACGAGGAGTATGTGGGGAAATGTGCTTGTAGTTGACTGAATTTGTAGCTGACTAATTGTACAGTTAGTTAAACTCTTGTACCTTCCTTATTTAAATCTAGAAATCCCCAAAACTTTATCATTCAAGTTAACTTAACAAAGCTCTTACTATTAAAAATCACTTTGAAGTAATGGTGTTTATGTATAGATTATATGGCATTGTTTTTATTTTTCTTGCACAAACAATAAAAACCACCCCCACTGCCACACCCCCAGTAATAAATATAGAAATGTTTTGTTTGGTTTTGGTAATGTGAATGGTAGGAATATTCAGAAGTGAATGAGTCACAAACAAGTAAAATTTCTAAAGAATAGTAATAGTAGATCTGTCAAGGTCAGATGTTAGAAAATTAGCTTCATAAAAGATGTGCTAGTTTTCAAACAAAATATTAATTAAATCATACCTTTATTTTTGCTTTCCCTAAGACGCTGTTTACAACTTGTGTTTTTTTTTTAATGTTATAAATAAAGGTTTGGTAGGTGGAATTTAAGATGGTCCTCCCAAATTCCTCTAATTGGGAAACATGCTCTGCATAGTCCCTAGAAATGTGAATATCATGGATTTTACTCTCCCAAATAGGTTATATTATATAACTCTAAAACAGGGGAACTATCTGGGTAGACCTAACCTTTTAAATCTTGATCTAGAGGTCAAAAACAGAGGGAAATAGAGATCTGAATCATAAGGAGGATTTGACACACCATTGCTAGCTTCAGGATGGGGGAGAACCTATAGAGCCTCTAGGAGCTACGGACAACTCCAAGCTAATAACCAGCAAGGTAACAGGGACCCCAGTTCTACAACCACAAAGAGCTGAATTCTACCAACACGAATGAGTTTGGAAGATTTTTTTTCCTCAAGAGTGTGCACATAAGAACTCAGCCAGGCCAACCTTGATTTCAGCCTGTGGTTCTCTGGGTAGAGAAAGCCACGCCATGCTAGACTCGACCTGGAGAACTCCGAGCTAGTGAGTGGGCATTGTTTTAAGCCACTAATTTTTTAATAATTTGACACACCAACAGAAAATTACTGCCCGTAGGAACAAAATGCATGTATTTTACTGACCTCTCTTCAGTCTGTTGCTCTGAAAACAAGTATCAGTTACGTGCTCGGATTCATGAACCATGTAGACCCCAGGTTACCATGGCCAATGCTGAAAATTCATAGACCCACTCTGAATAAGAAATACAGAAAAGATACTCTGTATGCCATAAGCTATAGACTTATGGTCAGAAACTTGGACAGTATGTGATCACATTCCATTAAAAGGTCAGAAACTTGGACAGTATGCTAAAAATGAATGCCCAATGTGATGGTATTAGGAGGTGGGGCCCTTTGGAGGTGCTTAGTTCATGAGGGTGGAGCCCTCAGGAATGGAATTAGTGCTCTTAACAAAGAGACCCCAGAGAACTCCCTACTTCTTTCTACCATGTGAAGTTACAGCAAAAAGGTGGCCGTCTAGGAAGCAGGCTCTCTCCAGACACGATGTGCTGGTGCCCTGATTACAGGCTTCCCAGCCGCCATAACTGTAAGAAATAAATTTTTGTTGTTTATAAACCACTCAGTTTATGGTATTTTTATTATAGCAGTCCATATGGACTATGACAAAAATGTATTTATTGCCTATAAAACAGATCATTTGGAAACCTCAACTCTCTATCTCCTATATGGAAGGTGTTGAGAAAGTAACTCTTAAATATGCTGTGAATTATCTCTAGATTTTCTTGGGCCATCTTAAAAGGTGGGAACAGTCGGTACCCATGCCTTCTTGAGGCATATGTAGGAAACTACTATATGTTCAGTGCAGAGTGACAGACTCTCTAAGTATCTGGAGAGAGGTCAGAGATCACTTAAAAGGAGTCTCCCAGGAGCCTTCATAGAATATGTTACACAGTTTCTCCCTGTCTCATTCCCTTTTCATTCATTACTACAGTGCTACCATAATATTTTTATAAAAAACAAATCTCATCATGTTGTACCCCTACTCAAAATGACCAATTTTGATGGCCCTCAAGATAAAGTCATTCATCCATTTATACACTAAATACTTAAGTATGTACCAGATGCCAAGTTCTGTGCTAGGTGATAGGGACACAATGGTCAGTATAATAGACAAGGTCCTGCTCTTCACTGAGCTTTGCTCTTTCAAAAATATACATCCCATTTTATTTATAAAAGCCTATAATTAATCTTTAATCCCTAACTTGAGCTTCACTCCCCTGGGAAGCCCTTTTTGACACTTCTAGGCAAAATAAGGCACCCCTTCTCTCCCATAAAATACTGTTCCTAATCATAAAATAAAATTGACCATATTGTATTAAAATTGCATGAGATTACATGCCTGCATCCTCTGCAAGCAGAATATAGAGAGAAAATTCAGGAAGCATATACATATCAAATTCCTAGAGTCAAAAAGAGATTATGAATGAGTAGTTCTTCTTGGAAGGAGCTAACCCTGGATCTACTCCCTTCTGTAAAGTAGGATATACAGTATATATACACATAATGGAAAGAAAGTATTCTAACTTGAGAGTAGGAACTGGGCTGGGAGGTAAGGAATGAGAGCCCATGAAATAACCTGTGCTAGCCCGCACATCCTCAGTATGCTATGCTGTGATAATTCCTCCTGACCCTCTATACTCTCTATCTCAGTTAGGAGTTCCTAGAGGTCTGGCCCTTTGTAGACTCCAGTATGCAAGCTGGGAGGTCAGCTACTGTCTAGAACAAAGGGGCTATTAATCAGCTTACCTAGTGAGACAACAATTTTGAATGACAGAATTTGAGAGTGAAAAGTTGTTTATAAAGTTTTCCAAAAATTCCCTGTGAAAAAAACAAAAGCTAAATGTGGATCCTTCCACATTGGGAATGCGCTCACATTCCTATGAGAATATAGGAATTCTCATGTACGTAGGGAGGAAGGGGGAAAGAAGCCTAAGGCAAGGAGGGAGGCAGAGCTCAGAAACAGGGGCCAGGCTTTCTGCATTTCTTGTTATTAAATCGGTAAGGAGGTGGGGCAGGAGAATGTCAGCTGGATAAAAGGAATCCAAGGGCCTATCGGCTGACAGTTCTCTTTCACGGACATCGTTTGTTGGGGAGGGGATGGAGGAGATCAGAAGCCTCTCAGAGAATCCCTGTTGTAAGTTTTGTACCCATTTAACCCGGCAAAGGAGAAATAAAACACAGGTGAAGGAAGGTTCCCAGACAAAGTTAAAATTGGTTATTCCTCACAGGTTGTGTGCATGTGCAAAAACCTAAAAATTTCCAACACACACATACACACAAGCATGACAGAGAAAGACTGAAAAAGCCTTGGGATGAGAAAAGGAAGAGGGAACTCGAGTTCAAGGCAACCGTAGGTCAGCAGCGGCCTTTCTGGCTCAAAACCCAGGCAGGGTCCTGCTACAACATCAAGAACAGAGGCCTCTACTGATAGAGACAGTATCAGAGGGCAGAGCCGGGAAGGATACAGAGGACAACCCCAGGGCCAGCAAGCACAGATGTGATGCTCCACACTCCTGAGCGAGCCACAGTGATACATAAACCCCTCAAAGATGGTTTCGTTAGTGCAGACAGGGGCAGAGCCAGCACAAAAGCGAGGTTTGTGAGGCACTTAGGAGGGCACAAAATGCAAGGAGCATCCCTCTCAGGGTCATGTAAGTGCGGGGTTGCCACCAGAGAAGGCTGCCTCCTTACATTTTACACCCAAGGTGCCTCTCTCACCCCAGCCTAGTCCTAGACCTGGGAAATAGAGGGGGGAAAAATAAAACAGAAAGAGAT